ATCACAGCCCGCACGACAGAGCCTGGCAAGCTACTCGTGTGCCTTCAATATGCCGAAAACAGCAATATGGATGGGCCTCATTCCCCTGAACCTGAGGGAGCCCCCAATACGGCAGCGTTGGGTAGGACCGCTCGGGAGAGGCTGCTAGAATCTCAGGGCCCGGATAGGCTGCCTAAACGAAGAAGGACTAAGATGGCGATCTGTACTTTCAACGCACGAACGCTTGCATCCGAAGCTCACATCGAAGATCTGATGATGCAGGCCAGGAAGATCAAGTACGACGTCATCGGACTGACCGAGACGAGAAGGCACCGCCCGCTACACGCCGTTTTCGATACTGGAGAAGAACTGTTCCTTGGAACATGCGACAGCAGAGGCGTTGGCGGTGTGGGTGTCCTCGTCAACACGCACTTGGCCATAAACATCGATTCGTACTCGAAAGCACGTTCAAACGCATACATTATAAACCAGTCATGCTGACTTATCCGCGCCTGATTTGAGGTAAGATTGTGGTTCACACTCCGCTCTCTCGACAAGCGTATTCGGAGAGTACCTGGTCCATACGCACCAACCCATCTCCTCAGCTACGAACTCACGCCGAGACACCTCAAGAGCTATTTTCTAAATGTTGATGATTGGAAAACTTCGTAAGAAGTTCTATACGAAGTTATCATACCTTCTTCAAGGTCATCGTCGGCGACTTCAACGCTAAGATTGGCCCAAGAAGAACGGCTGAAGAACTTCACATCGGTACTCACGGAATGGAATGGAATGAGCAGGGTGAAAGACGTATAACTTCGTATAGATGTATGCTATCATGTCCAACTGCGGTTAGGCCGATCTAATTAGTTGAACCGATGTTCCAATTGCACAACCGAGCGTGGGGTAGATACAAAATGACCATGCGATTGAACGATCACACTATCAGATGAGTCGGACCATAGGATGGTCGATACAAAATTACCCCACACTCAGATGTACGATTGGACGACCGGTCCTACTAAACTACACCTGAAGCATCGACAATACTATAACTGCGGAAGTCATAGGAACCATTCCAATAAAGACAGAAAAGACACACCTGATGAATTTCAACTCGATATTTGGTAATAAAGAGTGCAACCGTGGGCTCTTTATGTATCGAAGGAACTGTCGATCTACGACACCGTCAGCAAGACACTCTACTTCCTCTGGGCAGGTTGCAGAGCAGAAAATGACACGAGCACCTGATAACAACGATCATTCTCTGCGCTGAGCCATCAGATCTTTTGAAACCATACGCAGAGCCACATCAATCTACTAGTATTCGTGAACCGAATTGGCTAATAGGTATTAAAAGCGAAATACCTCCAGTTAAACACCGCGGTGAAAACTGCTCATATCCAACCACATCCATATCAGCCCTCACTCCAAAATAAACATGAAACAAGAAGCCAACAATGTTTCGTGAGCAAGAATCTTGGTAAAAACAACCTGCAAGGGGAACAATTGACGTTCCTTCACACTCATCACAAGTACGTTGCGTTCTGGAAATGTTCTCAAACTACCCAGGAGTCCTAATGAAGGATATCCCAAATCGCCTTGCTGAAAGATTTCCAGCCAGTACTCAGGTTGAACCATTTTATCAATCCACTTAACTATGAGCTAGTCGAAAATCTTCTCTAATTGACATAATCACTTGATCTCATTACGAGTCGCGTCTGAGACAGAATATCATATTGTAATAGATTAGTCGACCGCAGGAATAAGCCGCCACCGCCGAAATTCTTACGATTCTTATCCCCGTTTTAGGGACCAGAGCCAGTTCAGCGGCCCCTTGCGCCCGACGCCACCGAAAATCTTCCGCTAGTTCGAAGCGATCTAAAAGACGCGCCAAGTGGGGAAGCGCTACAATACTTTTTAAAACATAAACAGATCGCCAAATTCATATAAGCGCTAGTCTGGCATAGAAATCGCGTTCGTCGAAGCGTCCCTTGTGAAACTTTCAACCGAAACCTGTGTGCCCTTAGGGACAGCATTGCCGCCCGACAGAAATGCCGTTCTATTGCCAATACTTGCCCAGCGATCACTTGACGTCAGTTTGACGCCAAGCGCAAAAAATGCGTGAACGCCAAACTCCTCTTCACTTGTCCGTGAAATCGTCTTCGAGAGCGTTACGAGCACATGCGTCATGGACTCGTTTCCATGACACATGGTGTAGAATTAATCTCAACTTACGGAATGACTCATTTTCGAGTTGCACATAGAGACGACGAGTCCCGCTTTTGATGCAAACTTCGACGCTACCGAGAATATCTGTTCCTTCAGCGATGAGGTGACGACAAGAATGACAGCTGCAAACATTGACCATAAGCGGGAAAAACCAGCACAACCAGCACATAATTCTTGAAAACGCACCTCGTTCCTTCACCTTCACATTTTTTCGCTTTTGCTTCAATAATCTAGTGATTAATGGAGCTAAATAGGCTATTGTTTTCCCAGATCCAGTCTCTGCGGCTATGAACAGATGATAATGAGAAGGGAACACTTGGAGACACTGTGACTAAAAAACGAACTACACTTAGTCTTCGCAAACTAGTGGATAGTATGTGGCATACCTGAACTTGTGTGGGGATCTTTAACTTCAGCTCCTCCAGAGTTTCCCTCACCAGTGGATCAAGACGATCAGGAACGTAATGTTCCCATGCGTTCTCCCACTTGACGAACTGACTCGATGATGCCTAAATTGTACAGATTCAACCTATAAGCAAGCAAAGTTGTCTATAAGCAAATAAACTTATCTAAGCTCATACCTTAGTTTTTCTTCTTATAACGAACCATTCGTCTTTGTATTTGTTTTTATCCCAGTACTGACTACATAGCGGTGTGCGAAGATCAGGTCTGGACTCCAGTAGATTGAATTCTGGTCGAGAACATTCTGAAAGCTAAGAGCTATATTTGGAAGTGACCTTGTTTAGAGGCGAAATAGGCAGCTGGCGAAAAAAGACCTATAAAGCACTTGTGTCCAGGTGGAATCGGCTCCTTTGATTGCTGCTTCTCAAGCTCTTCACGTTTCTTTTTTGAAAGTGCTAGCGGTATTGAGAGTTCTTTTATCTTCCGAGGTTGTGTTGCCGCTTCGAAGTCTACACCTTTCGAACGAACAAGTCGCTCAACAGGAATATCGGTACGATGGAGGGATCCGAACTGGAATTAAGCCCATGAAATGCTATGTCTTTAATATATACTCATAGAAAACATACCGAATCACTACTAAGTCTAGTCTTGGGCCGAGCAGAAGCAAATGCCCTGCAAATGAAGACCATGGGGCGCGTTGTCATGACTTCAGCTATTCCTCAGGGGTGTTCAAAGTCTTTTGTGAAACCGAAGAATCCGCATAAGATAGATGACCACTAAAAATGTCATGTGTAATATCTCGAAAGAACAAAAGTAGCGACTGCTAGATCAAAAACAGTGGCTGTGATTCCTACTTGGCACATGTGGGAACACAATGAAATGCAAAGAAAATGAATAAAATATCCACCGCACACACCGAAACATTCTCTCGATCAAACTTTTCGCAATGGATCAAGAAATATTATAATAAGACCTAAATCCAGCAAAAGGGTAGACCGCCGGACTTGCCAGCAAACGCGCTCCAATCGGCAGCAGCGGAGGACGAGTTTTCCGTGTCCTTTCAGTATTTTGG